TGGATATTAACGTATTTTATATTTATGTTTTTTACTTAATGTTAAATTTATTTACATTATCTCATATATTTAATAATGTTAAAAACCGATCAATCCGACTGAACCACACCGATCCGATTTAAATTGAATTGGTTTGGTTATCATATAATAGTGGATTGAATTGGTTTAAAAATTTTACTAACCGATTAAATTGGATTGAATTAAAAAATATTAAAATCTGAACCAAACCACACCGCGAACACCCTTACCACTGAGCTTTACTATTAGGTCACGAACGTAGTTAGCAACAGGGCCTTAAGTTTAATCCAGCCGAGACCGTGGGCTTTTCTGCATGCCAGTTTCTGGCCCAAGGTGAAACGATGCGATTCTTCTTTTCATCCGTTGCAACTTCCGCTTCCAGCGAGCCTTTAATTCCGTTTTCCTGTTCTACATCCATGGAAGCCGATGATGCATAGCAGCATTTCAGCTGAGAAAGAGAGAGGCAGCAGCAGTAGTAATAGTAATCAAATGGAAAATGCAGAAGCAGATGAGCCACAGAAGAAGAGGCCTCATATGGATTCCGCCGCCACGCCTCGTAACAAATCGGTAATCCCTCCCTCTCCTCCGTTTGCCTACCGGGAAAATAACAGAACATGTTTTCCTTCTTTGTAGTTTACAAGATTTAATTTGTTCCAGGTTGATGCTGGAGTTCTCCAATACCAGAATCAAAAACTCGTCCAACAATTAGAAACTCAAAAGCAGGAGTTACATGATCTCGAAACCAAAATCAAAGAGTTAAAAGACAAGCAAAATTCTTACGATGATATGCTGATCAGCGTGAATCAACTTTGGAATCAGGTATAATATGTTTGCTTTCTTTTTACTTGATTTTGCATTTTGTGATGGATTTTTGTTGCTTTTCTGCTATGTAGTTGGTGGATGATTTGATCATGTTTGGAATACGAGTTGGTGGAGGTCAAAAAGCTTTAGAAAACTTGGATCGAGCAGTGCATTCTCGAGGTCTGAGTCATATTCTTCTTAGTTGGTGGTTTTTTTTTTTTTTTTTTTTTTCTTTCTCTGATTGAATATGGAGTGTGTACTTTAATGTCGTAACAATGTGGATTCATTTCATATTCTGATGTGAGGAATTCTTGTAGGTTCTATTCCACCATGTCCTGTGGAACAGATATTTCTTTGTAGGTTGCTAGAATCAAATTTTATTGAGAGTAGTGGTAATGGTGGGATTACAAAATATGTTGAAGAAGCCCTTGCGTTGCGACATTTATCTACTATGGAATTGATGAAATTTCTGAAGGATACTGTTGCTGCTGAGAGGGATAAAACTGAGATCATAGCTCAAGCTCAGCATTGCAACAATTCTGCTGAAGGTAAGAAGATACATTTCAGGTCTATTTATCATTTAGCTGTTTGTCCTCTTTATAATTGTTACTTTCTTTTGGCTTTTAGACAGGATCATCCTATCGTCTAAGATTGATGATATGATGGACAAGGAGGCAACAAATTTGCGTGAGGTGGTTGATGCTCTTCACTTGAAGCATAAAGAATATACTGATGGGATTCAGACATACATTAAGAATCTTTCTGTTGACCAGTCTGAGATAAAACATATCGAAGGTCTCTGAGATTTTCTCTTTGAGTACCTATACTTTTTAGCACAAGTATTTTTGCTATAGATCCATAGAATTATTCAAAAACTTGCATGCAAGTATTCAAGCAATTCTCAGGAACACATTTGACATGAAAGAATAAGAAAGTATGCTGGCTAGTCAGTATGAATTTTGCTATATTTTTTTGGTTGGGTGTATCTTCAGACTTTTTTTAAAAATTTTAAATGCTTTTTATTCCTTAAAGGTGAGCTGGAAGAGGTCATGGAGGAACTTGAAGAAAGTAGAAGAAAAATGGTCAATCTGAAAATGCAAAAGGATATAGCATGTGGCATGCATGTGTCGACTCCAGTTGCTGTAAATGGAACCCTGTCACCTGAAAAGCCTGGAGATAAGGCACCAGGCTTGCAGGAATTGAAGGATTCCATTGAGGAGGCAAAGGTACCAGTTATGTTATAGAGTTTTCTTCAGCATCTCTTTTTCTCTTCTTTCCTCTCCTTCCTGCTGCTCTCTCTTTGCCTCAATCTTTCTGGTTAACCCAGTGGGATTTGTTACTAAGCAAGTTTTGCAGATTGTGGCAACAGACCGTCTTTATGAGCTTCAGGAGGCACAGAAACTGAACTTGGTCTACTCAAAACAACTTCTTGATTTTGAGGTTTTTGAGCTCGAGTTATTAATAACAATAAATGACCTTTTTGGTTCTCTAAAATACTTGTTGAAGGGCTTTTGTTTATTGAACAACATAGCTTCTAATTTTATATTTGCTTAGGATGAAGTGAAGGATGAAAAATATGTACGTTCATCTCGACTGTATGCTATGTTGAATGATCGGCTCCAACATTGGAATGCAGAAATGGAGCGATGCAAAGCGCTGATTGATGCTCTGCAGGTTATGCTGCTTGTTTTACTTTTCCATATGAGGCCTGTAAATCTCTTTTGAAAGTATATTTTCAGGCTGACAGGTCTCTTGTCACAAGGAGGGAGAAGGACCTGAATGTAAAGGCTGAGTTAGTAGATGCTGCTAGGAACATTATTCACAATTCTGACTCTAGAGTTAAAGAGCTAGAGACTCAGCTTCAGAAGTGTGTCATTGAAAGAAATGATCTTGAGATCAAAATGGAAGAAGCTATCCAAGATGCAGGTGAAGTAATATTTTTAAATGTTATGTTATATGTCTTCTAATTGAATATTAGCTGTGATGGGAATTTCTAGTTTGTAAAAATGCTATCTTTCCTTACCAGGCAGAAATGATATTAAAGCAGAAGTCCATGTAATGGCTTCGGCTTTGTCCAAGGAAATGGACATGATGAAAGCTCAGTTGAACCACTGGAAGGAGACTGCACATGAAGCAATTTCCTTGCGTGAAGAAGCCCAGTTGCTAAGAACTTTATTAACTACTAAGGTCTTGTATCACCCATAATTGCTAACTCATGTCAATAGTTGTTAAAGATGCATAAAATAAAAGCAGCAATGTAGAGTAGAAGATTAATTAGGATTACATTGCAATTTTTTCCCACATATTTTACCAACTTAATTGTAAAGTGGTTGTTATGTAAGGTAAAAATATGGATTGGTTTTGAATTAAGTGATGGTACAAACCAAAAATCGCCTGTAAGGGCATTCATTCAACATCTTTGAGGCAGAAAATCCCATGATTGTTATCGTATTGTTGCCTTTCTCGTTCTATGTACATACTTACGTTTTTATTCAGTAATGTTTCTACACATTCAGGATCTGTTTCATGACTCAATTTACTAATTGAGGCATAAATTATAGTCTGCTGAAAGAGTAATATACTGTATTTCAGGAAAATTTGTCATAGAATTGTAGGATTCTGTATTTCTGGAAAATCCATGGGTGGCGTAATGATAATAAGCTAAAGGCTTCCTTTTTGGGTGTTGTAGAACCTATGGGCTGTTTTTTCTTATTATTATTAGTTAAGCTTATGAAACTCTGTTCAATCCATGATGCACAAGTTCTCTGAAATAATGTAAATCCTTATTTTGTTCATATAGAGAAATGAACAGAAGCATTTGGCAGAAAAATGTACTGATCAAATGATGGAAATAAAAACTCTCATGGGTTTGGTGAGTTTGTCTTTTCTACAATTATTTATGGTTGCCTCCACTATGACTTTTTGTGTGCATAAGTTCATGTGACTACAAGGGAATTGGTGTCAGCTGTTAAAGAAGAATTTTTTGTTGCAGATTGAGAAGTTGCAGAAGGAAAAATCAGAACTTCAGATCTTCTTGGACATGTATGGCCAAGAAGGTTATGATAATAGGTATGTCTATTTGGGGGTCCCATCTGGCACCACACATGCAGAAGGGGGAACTTTTTCAAAAATACATAATGTTAAAAGGTTTGAACATTGAAAGGGTGCTTTTGTGTGTTTGCATGTGCATGTGTATGCAAGACTGAACATTTAGAAGTTAGAAGTTTATGCATTTGTACCTTTTCAGCAGCTCAAGGAATTCTTCATCCTTTAAAAGTGTCCAACTTTTAATTTCAGAGATATTCTGGAAATAAAAGAATCAGAACATAGAGCTCATTCTCAAGCTCAAGAGTTGAGAAATGCTTTAGATGAACATAGCCTAGAGTTGAGAGTGAAAGCTGCTAATGAGGCTGAGGTTGCTTGCCGACAAAGGCTCTTCGATGCAGAAGCTGAAATAGCTGAGTTAAGAGTCGATTTGGATGCTTCTGAGAGGTTCATTCTTTTTTCTGTGCTGTCCTCCATTTTTCTTCTGTTGTTCATTTTTTTGGTTGTTTCAGTTTTTCATTTGAAGAAATGAGCTTTGCAAAAGCTTTTGCTGTAAAACTATTTAAGTTTCTGTCTTAACTTGGTTGTTAGATTTTGGAAAAGTTGAATATTGGGTGCGATGAGATATGCAAAAATAAGCCGATTATGGGTTAGATCAGTTGGTCCTTTATGCGATTCCTCTTGCATTGGACAAACTAGCTGCAGTGCCTTAATAGTGAACAATGGCAGGATATTGCACTTAGATCAGAGATTAAAGTCACTTCATTTTATTTAGTATTCATTACTAAAGATTAGATCACATTCTGCCTTTGGTAAATTCAGCAGTCCTTTGTTTCTAACCTTGACCTAAGTAATCTTTTACCTTTCTTTAGATACTGTTGAAAGTATGTTATTTACCAATATTGTACAATTACATCACATTGCCTGCAGGGATGTTTTTGATCTCACAGAGGCCATTAAAAGCAAAGACAAAGAGGCAGAAACATACATTTCTGAAATTGAGGTGTCATTCTTATTTTTTAATTATATGTAAAAAAATTATTTGTTGTCTCCCTTAACCAGTCCCAGTTCTTTTTCTAAATTGCTGCAGCTGTATGGCCATTTTGGCAGTACTTGGTGTCATTCTGACTTCTGCGTTCTTCCTTCCCTGCTTCACCCTTTGTCCATGTTACTAATCTCTTTCATTTCCTCCAGACCATTGGTCAAGCATACGAAGACATGCAGACACAGAATGAACATCTGTTGCAGCAGATGACTGAGAGGGATGACTACAACATTAAGGTCTGTCTTATGGTCATGTGCCTGAATTTTCTGGTTGTTATTATATATTTATTTGTATCTTTCCATTCAATTTTTTGTATTTTTGCTGGAATCCTTCTATTGAATTTACATGATCGAGTAATCCAGAAATGCAGTTAGGTGCTATGTTGTTTCTTCCTAATTGTATCATGGGATTTATATTGCAGCTTGTTTCTGAGAGTGTAAAGACAAAACAGGCTCATAGCTTCCTACTTTCTGAGAAGCAGACACTAGCAAAACAACTTCAACAAGTCAATGCATCAATAGAATCTGTAAACAAGAAACTTGCTCATAGTGAAGCACAGGTAAACTTAATTGTATTTTTCCGTTGAAAAAATTTGTTTTATGTTTTTAGATGTTGATGCTTCAGAAATTTTATGCACAGATGAAAGGTTGCCTGACCGAGGCTCTTAAAGCTTCTCAAGAAGACAGACATCTTGCCGTTAATCTCGAAACTGCAAGATGGGAATTAGCAGATGCTGAGATGGAGCTGAAATGGCTGAAATCTGCTATGACTTCTGACAAGGAGTATGAGCAGGTCCAGAAAAAGTTGGATGAATTCAAAGTGAAGTTGGGAAAGGAGAGGTTGGTCATTCTTTCCCCTGCCCTCCAAATTAATGATGGTCTCTCATCCTCTTGGTTTTATATCACGCTACTTGTAGTGATAGTATATATATCCTAGTTCTAATTAACTGACTTTCTGGAATCCAGGAATCAGAGGGAAAATCTGGAGGAGGAACTCGCAGAATTGAATAGGGAGATTGAAGAGTTGACGTCCGAAACTGAAGAAGCTGCAATACAGAAGCTCCAGGATGAAATAAAGAACTGCAAGAACATTCTCAAGTGTGGTGTGTGTTTTGACCGGCCAAAGGAGGTAAGTCTTCAGCTACCTCCATTTCTTTCCTAACCCAATCTCCTTAAAAATACGGGGCCGAACCTTGAATTCATGTGACAAATATATTTCGTTTGGCAGGTAGTGATTATGAAATGCTATCACCTATTTTGCAATCCATGCATACAAAGAAACTTGGAGATTCGGCATAGAAAGTGCCCTGGCTGTGGGACTGCATTTGGTCAGAACGATGTTCGGTTCGTAAAGATATGAATGGTCTACCTCAGGCCGTACTAGGCCTTTCACCTTTTGAACTCATAGCCTTATATAATAATGTGCAGCAGAAAAGTTATTGTTTTTCTTGGCAGCCAATCTTTTTATTATTATTACTTATTATTATTCCATTTTGTTTTTTTGAACATGTTTACGAGGACCGGATTCAAACCGTTGCTCAAAGAAGAAAAATGCACTTTAATGTGATTTTGTTGTCATTGGGTTCGAAGGCTCAAATGCTATTATTATTCCTTTTTTTTATTAATCCATTAGTGCCTATCCGAAATATGGGATATTATTGGATTTTGGATAAGATGAAAATGACTGAATGTGTTCAGCCATTCAACTTCACCAGGCATATCTAGAGTGGGTTCCAGAATCCATATTTCTCCAAAGCATTCCAGGATAAATGTTACAAATTTTATTTGTATTATTTTATTTTCTATAGAACTTTTGAAATAATTTTTTTTTCAATATTAAGCTGCTAAATTTGATTAAAGCTCCGAATTACTTGACACATATTGAAGGTAATAATTCATAAATTTCAAAATTCAGGTTTCCTATCTTCTTTGAGCTTACATTATTAAACGTCAAGAAGATCTTTCCTATTTTGTTTTACAATTTAAATTTTAGAATCTAATATAATTTATATCACAAAACAATTTTTCATTATAATCTTAGGAAGTGGAAAAAGAAGAAAATCCAGACGGTGTCGTTTTGAACCCACAACACAATTTCTGGCTGACGGTAATCTGTCTTATCTTCAATTCAACATTCAGTCGAAACCGAAGCCGAAAAAGAAAGGAAGAAAGAAAATGCTGCTCCCTCTTTCTCTTGGACAAAGCAGCTTCATTTCATCATCATCTTCCCACTCCAATTTCAACCACCTAAAACCCTCCTACTTGTTCCCCAAACCCACTCATCCCATTTCAGGATTGCTTTGTCTAAGCAGGAAAAGATCAAGTAATGCTGCTACTATTCATGCTTCTTTGATTGAAGCTCCAGTCTTGTGGGCTGGGAGGCTTTGTGCCTATTACGTACTCTTGAAGACTGGTTTGGCTGGATCTCAATCCAATCCTCTTGTCTCAGGTCTGTACTCTGTACGGTATATTCATGATACTTTATGTTGTGTCTATTAATATGGCTTTCTTTATGTGTTTTCTGATTATGATTGTGAGTTTGTTTTTTAGGCTTGGAAAGCGATGGCAATCTTGCTGAGTCTGGTGATCTGGGGTTCTCCAAGTGGTTGGAGAATGTACAAGGGAAACCAGGTCAGTGGACTATTGGCCTTCTTTATCTGAACCCTCGTTTCCATCTGTCTCCTTTTTCCCATCCTTGGTTGGAGACAAAAGTAGAATTATATAGTTTGGGAAGTTGATGTCTTTTATATTTGGAGATACAGATCTGTTGCTAAGAAAATTTCATGAGACTTGCTGAATTTGTTTGGGGGTATCTTTATATGGTGCTCTAGTCTACTAATTTGGGAAGTTAATGTCATCAAAAGGTTCAGGAACCCACTGACGCACAGGGTTTGAAGAGATCATTGTATTTATTAATAAGGTTGCTCTATCTTTTTATAAAAGTTGAGCTCTTGAAATTTCTTCATGTTTTATCACCTTGGTCTGTAAAGTTGCTTTTCAGTTTTATCCGAAAAGAATCATCTCCATGTTTGGAACTTGTCTTCTACGAGATGCGTGAAAAGGAATCAAATTAATATCCAGTTTAGCTAGCGCAAAACTTTGGCCTTCTAAGTTTATGGAAAGGAGGACTTTGTTTATATTTTGTTACTTGGCTCATCTGCAACTGACCTTTGCTTTGCCCAAAGGAATGGACTTCATACTCAGTAATGGGATTATAAGAGAAGTGATCAATTCAGATAGGTTTTTGAAAAATTACTTGTCTGCACTCATCTTTCAGGCTTGCAGAATGGGAACTGTGAATGTTAAATGGATAAGGCATTTTGTATTTAATAGAACCATGGTTGAGTATCTGTAGAAACATTTTAACTCTCTTTTGCTTATTGGTAGACAAGGAAGCAGCAGACAAGAGGAAATTAGTTAGCAAATGGCATCCAACAACAAAGGGTACACTGAAAAGAAACTACAGGGTGCCTTCAAAATCTGAAGGGCGGCGCCTTCTTAGAGCTGTTGCATCTTTACTATCAGATGATGACCACTTCACTGATGCCACTTCCCACAAGGTACCACAACCTCAGAAAAATCAATATACTTTTATTGGTGTTTACTTCAATTCCTCCTCAGTATCTGAAAAATAACCTCAATATGAAAAATATGGTGTCAGATCTGATATAAGATTTCTGATGTTTGCACAGGGTTGTCAAATTAGGAGGGAGAGTGCGCATGGTGAAAGTGTATGCTGCAATAATGTGAGGGCACTGTTTGATGAACTTCCTACTCCTCACATTATTGTCGAAATTACACCTTTTCCTGCTGGACCTCTCACTGAAAAAGATTACATCAAGGCTGAGAAACTAGAGAGGGTTCTGAGATCTGGTCCTTCAGTTTGAACTACCTTGAAGTTACTCTTTGTATCAGTAACCTGTACATATTAGACTAATCAATCAGAACTTCGCTTTTCTGTTGTTATTCTTGTGTTTTACTGTTTTAACAGAAATGTATTTGGATGCCTAAGCATTTTCTTTTGGGATAATAATTCCTGATGTATCTCCCTTCGTTATTCTCCATTATATTTGTTTCTCTTCTTGAAGCGAAGAAGTTATTGTAAAGGCCAATTTCAACTTCACATTCAGATTCAGCATGGGAACCAAAACGGAATACAAAGATGCAAATTAGAAAATCCTTCAATGAAAAGCACATAAGACAGTAACAGTTGTAGTTTGTAATTGAAAGAAATGGATACTCAGCGTCGAAGCAAAAGTAAAATCTATACACCATGTAATTTCAGTTCCTCCTTTGTTTCAGCCAAACAAACCCAGTATGCTATGCCTACTTAACTCCTACAGAGGCCATCAAATCCTCATACTCAGGATCATTTTCCTGTTTCCTTTCTTTTGGAAGACTACCTCTCTTCTGTTGAGATGCAACAGATACAGAAGTCGGTGAAAACGGATCATAATTTTGCTGTCCCCTAGAATGAGTGGAGGCTGGCCGAGTAGACTGGGAGAAACTGTTAGCAAAATGCAGGTTTGGTGGCATATAGTTTCCTGGCCGAGGTGGCAGAGCCGGATAGTTTTGCTGAAGTTGCATAGAATTCCCTGGCATGGGAGGAAATGGAACAACCATATTGGGCATTTGGGGAGCTGGAATGAAGTTCCTCACTCCCATTTGTGAGACTGGAGTTGCAGCTGCGACATGACCTGCATCGGGGAACACTGGGGGTCTGGGTGGACCAGTCATTGCATTTGGTTGACCAGGAAATGGTGCTGAAGATATTTGAGCTTGAGGCCGACCAATTTGGTTGCCACCCTGTTGCCTAGGGAAGGATTGCATGACAGGTTGAGGAGTCAAATTGGGCCCAGCAAACCGAAAAGATGGTGCTTGGGGTGCTTGCATTTGAGTCATTGGCCCAGGAGACGGAACAATGGTAGTTGACTGCTGAGTGCCTGGCCTTGGAACCATTTGAGAGGCTGGATTATGTGGCTGGTGAGGTTGAAAAGTAAAATCACCTGAACTTGGACGTTGGGGCCTTGAAACTGTCATTGTTAGTGGATTCATAGGACCAATATTTGCAACTACCTGCACAGATGGTGGTGGTGCTGTCGACAGCACTGGAATTGGTGTAGCTCCCATTGCATGACTTATAGATGGATTTGGTAATGGTGCCACTTGAGCAGCGTGTGCAGAAGATTGGTTTGGAACTGGGGCATGCACTGGTGTTGGATGCAGAGGAACTGATACTGCAGGAGGTCCCACAGGAGGGGGACTGGGAGCAAAAGCCATGGAAGCAGGCCGGTTACTGGGGGTATTGGTTAACTGGGGTCCAGAAGGTCCTGTGGGAAAGTTTGGAGGGTGACTGGAAGTGGATGCTGCACCTGGAAGCATGCCCAGAGGGTGAGAACCCTGGGGAGGAAATACTGCTGGAGCCAATTGTGCCATGTTACTTGGACCTAGGGATGCAGGAGCTCCTGACCAACCTGCAGAGCTCACAGCAGGGACCACTGGCCTTTCTGGTAATGGTCTTGATAAAACACTTGATGTGGGTTGAGGAAACATAGGTGTTAATGGCCTTATGATAGGGAGTGGAGATGAAATCGTGGGTTGAGCTGCAGAAAGGTTTGGAGCGAGCAGAGGAAAGTTTCTTGGGTGGCCGGTATGACCAAAAGGATGTATAGGCGGCTTTGAACTAGTGGGAACAAATGATAGGTTTTGAAGAACTGAATTGTATCCAGAAGCCACACCTGGTTGAGTCCCAAAAGGCGGTGGTGCATTTGAAGCTGGTAACCGTGCAACTGCAGGATTATTGAGAACTGGAGCTGATAAATTCACAGATGGCATGCCTGTCAGGGGCCATGGACCCTGGTATTGAAACTGGCCTTGTGAAGAAGTTGGTGTAAGTTGTGGCACTCCTAGGTTGACTGAAGTAAGAACTGTATAAGGAGCAGCTGAGCCCTGTGCCTGACTAAGAAGATTCACATCTTCCCCAGAAACTGAAGTTGACATTGAATCAGCACCTAAATTTCCCTACATAGAAGGTGCTAATGGTTACTTTTCCAATGGCACAACAGGTACTAAAAACAAGAGAAGTTATAGCCAGGGAAACAATAAAGATGATTGGAGTTATTTTTTAACTTATCACTGACAACCGCAATTTAATATCATTATGATCTTAAAAGTAAATAACTCACTGATATTGAAGTAACTAGTAGCTCAATTAGTGCAACTGCTGCATCAACTTTCTCAAAGGTATCAGCTGATATTTGAACATACAACTCTTCATAAGTGTCCCGGATGTCATTACTATCAGGTGAAGAAACTTCAACCTGAAGGGAAGGATGAAAAAAAAAAACGAAAGAAAAAAGACACCATGAGCCTACTTTGTCAAAGCATTTTCAAAGTAGATGTTGCAAACTAGACTTCTTAAGTGCAAAATTATCCTAAAAAATGAGAAAGTAAAAGCTTGCAAGTTTAGTTCAATTTTCTAGATACATATATATATATATATATATATATATTTTGGTATGAAGATATTCTTATGTTTTAGTTTCACTTATTTATGCCAATGTATTACCTTGTCTCCTGAGTTTGCTTTCATGCCATATACTTGCACTTTGGCTCCAGTTTCCTAAAGAGAGTAAGAGATAGGCTTACAGCATGGGATTGCCAAGAATAATCTTTCTCAAAAATATCCTGTCCAAACAATAGCAAGCAATTGCATCATCCAAATACTTACCTTTTCAAAACGCTTCTGAGTATCACCTGCAGGACCAAAAATTAGGCCAATAAAATTGTATCCAGGATATTCTTTTACCTGCAAAAGAAACATATTTATCAGTTATCACACAGTGCAAGTGTTATGTTAAGCAAGACAAGGAGGAGGGATAATTTAAAATCTGAAAAGGGGTAAGGGAGATACAGAGAGCAAAACATAGTTTGGCTACAATAGTCAAAACAAGTTTAAATGGTGATGGCCTTGATGTCTTGAAGAAATAGACAGAAACTTGCACATGCAGTTATTAGTGCTAATGACAATCTTCTAAATAATAGTTTCTCTGCTCTGCTGCACAAAAAGACTTGAAAATTGAAAACCAGTGTTAAATAGTTATCTCACTAGAACATCTTGATACCAAGCAACATACTCAAGACTACGAAAGAAGCTTCATTTACATTGCCACTAACTCAAATGCATTATAGTTGAGGAGATAAGAAATGAGAAATAGTAAGATGCATTCACGCAAACTTACTGGAAGAGGAACTATTGCCTCTTTCAACAAAGGCTTATAATCTGGTGGGGCCTTGTAACTTGGATTCAGTTTTAGTATTTCACCTGGAAGTCCAACAATTACATTGTTATGGCACACATAAAAATTTGAAAAGAAAGAAACAATCAATGGAAAAGGTTTCCAACATACCAATAATTTCCCCTTTTTCAATCTCCAAAAGTTCTGATTTCTACATTCAGAAAGCCTATCATAAGACCTCAGAAACCTCAAACTGACATCTTAAATGGAAATAAAACCTACTCTCGAAATCAATAAGCTTAAAACAAACAACCAGGGGACACAACATCAAACGTATTTCTACCTTACTGTCAACTTGAGTATTGGGAGAAGTGTCATCCACATGCTCAGCATTTGATGGCGAGCCTGTTTTATCCCCAACATTGAGTTGCCCCGACTTCAGCTGCCTTGTAATTTGATCTACCCGAGTCTGCTTAAAATTGGTGCCACCAAAGAGGCAGTATTATCACTTCCTGGAATGGGAAGCTTCCATGAAAGGCAATCACAAAGATGACATTTGACATTTTAGCTCCCAAAGGGAAAACAAGAGGTTGGATTGCCAACAGAGGAGAAATATAAACATTCTTCCTACAATCCAGAGCTAGTAATGTCTCCAATCCACTAACACTAAAAATTCAACTACTTAAACCAGTTGGAAAAAAACCCTATAAATTTCACCCTCCAAGTCTAACAGAATAATGGAGTGCTAACTTTGAGTGAAATTTTTATCAGAAAAAAGAGAAGAAAAAAATCACTATCTGAAAAAACTTAATAAATGGTACATGGTGAATTTCTTGCAGACAATATTAAAGTACCTGATAAGCTAAGGCTCTTCCCCTTCTGACAGCAGCATCCTGTGTCAGATCAGTGCCCCATTTTGTTTTCCTCTGAACCTGGTTGGTACCTTCTTCATTTACTGTTTCACTCCCTCCTTCCTTTTTACCTCCCCGGAAGACAGGGACTAATGAGCCTGATAATTTATTCTTTGGTATAACAAATCCAGACTTCTTAGCAAACATGGAGACCTTTGGACCAACAGTTGATGCTGCAGAGGAGGTACTCGTAGGAGACATCTTTGTAATCTGCGGCTCAACTGAAGATTTCTGGTCGACCTTTGCACTCATTCTGTTCTCAACACCCTCTCCTCCTTAAAAAAAACCACCCAACTATCTCTTTCTCTGTATCCCAAGCCTTTGAGGAACAGAAAATACGATATTAGATGGATTTCTAATAGCAAGCAACAATGGATAGTACATCTGATTCTTCTACAGCGCCGCCACCGCCTAAAGTAACTTTCTTTGGCTGGAACTCAAAATTAAAGGGGAAGACCCACATCCACTTCAGTGCGATATTAATAAAATAAATTTACCGGGGACTCAAAATTAATGATAATAATAATCTACCAGTTCATCCTCATCATACGCACTGACATAAGTTATGTTGCCCCAATAATTTTTTCGAAACGAAAGTTACAAGCTTGATTTTTCCCAGCAACCAAACAGGCGGAGAAAGACAGTAAGCCCCAACAGCACTAACCCTTTATAGATAGGATAAAGAGGTGAGAGAAAGAGAGTACCTAGGGTTTTGCAGCAAAGTGGGTGAACAGGAAAATGATGTGCTTTGTGAGTTGTTCGTCTCTCGGCGCAGAGCTGCGAGTTTTCGAATCAGCAAAGCTCTGATTTGATACGCTGAGCAACTAGTGACTGCTGAAGAAGCCAGAATTTGGCGAAATGCCGAAATCTGGAAGAATTTGGTGAAGTGTTAATTGTGCCCCTGCAGTTTTTTGTTTAAACATTTTAGCCACAAGAAAAGCTTTCCCCATGTGTTTGGTTAAAGGCCAAAGCGATAGGTTAAAACACCCTATAAAAGTTAGAAAGGATTATAAGAGAATTTATTAATTTTATAATATAATTTTGTTAAATTGTTAATTAATTTTGTTATATTTAATAAGAAATTGATATAGAAAGAAATTATAAGAAATGTTAATTGGGAAAGTTATTTAGGGACTCTCACATAAGGAAAATTGTGAAAAAAAATTTTCCTTAAAAGAAGTTAAAAAAAATTATAAATTA